AAAAAAATGATTTCCATTCCTCCCTCTTCAATGGGTCCCTGTGCCCTTAGGAAGCATTTCCGGACCCATGTTCATATGAACTTTTTTACTTAGTTTTGATCATAGAATCGGCCTGTTCAGGGCTGACAGCTAATTATGAGATACCCTGTATATTGAGTAAGTACAACTTTTTATTATTCTGACATTTGAATCTTCAACAGTACACTGATAAAAAGTATGGAAATTGACATAGGCTTTTTCATATTTTTAAAGGTTTTTATACACAAAAAATGTAAATGAATGAATATATTTTCTTTTTGACATGTATTCTTAACTTTTACTTTGTACATTTACATTTTAAATTGTATTATTCCTAATCCTTTACCTGTTTTTACTATATTTGAATAAATGTATGAATTTACATAATCTGATTAGGCTCGAACAATCATAGTAATCATGTTATCATCACCCGGTGTTACCGAGCTTGTATAGAGAACTATACTAGTTGTTCAGAAGGCATGTTTTGATTCATTTGTGCCGTAATAACACAGACAATACGGGCTTTTACAAATTCGCTTCTCACTACAGGGATCTTGGAAACGGTAGGAGGTACGAAGTAGCTTAAATGGGGGCAAAGAGGACCAACATTATGTCTCTCAAAGAATCAAGGCTAACATGATTAGTTTTCGAAATATTTGAAAACACCGAAATCTGGTTCGGACTGAAGCAGTACAGTATTGGGGGTCATGAAGGCAAAAAATGGAATAAAATTTCTAGGGTCGTATTTAAAAAAATGAAGTTGATGATGGTCCTGAACAGACGAAACGTTACACACACAAATTGATTATGCCATTCGATAGAGGGCAAAAAGTAGCCGTGAGAATGTGTTCTTCTTTTTTCAATATCACCTCAAACAAGGCTGAAATGAAACAACAACGGATTTCCAAAATTTCGGTTTTTTTCAAATATTTCGAAAACTAATCATGTTAGCCTTAATTTTTTTAGAGGGATGATGTTGGTCCCCTGATTACGCAACTTTGCCCCCATTTAAGCTACTTCGTAGCTCTTATCGTTTCCGAGATCGCCACAGACAGCGCTTTAAATGCTGGAAATTGGCAACCTAAAATGGATGCAGGGTCTTGTTAGCCGGCATCCAGCTATAAAATTTAGCGTGGTAACTCTTCTACTGGGTAATAGAAGGCAGTTCTAGCGGTGGCTTTGTTGCCAAATAATTACCAAATAAATTTAATGCATTTAGTTATGTAATTAAAGTGTTACATGGAACTTATCTTTTGTTTGTAAATGACACTTGTGTTAAATAATTATGCTAAATAATATAAATCAAGTTAGAATTAAAACTATGAATTTTATGAATATTAGCTTCATTTTTTATTTAATAAAATTGTTGGAAATTCAAAGGGTGGTTGATACGAAATTTATTTAAAAAAAAACAACAAATCATCAGCCAATGAGAGATAAGATAATGCGTTCGCTACTGCTGTTGCAATTATTGACTAACTTTTTTGTTTTTCAACAGACAGACTTCGGACCTTTTCCATTCAACGCAGAAGAGACATACAGAACCAGGGATGTGGGGAGATTATTTCAATTATTTTTTCGATTCAACACACCGTTTCCCAATTATACGACCTTTTTACTACATGACGTCACACATCTCTTGTTTCCAAAATTGATATTCGACATACGGATTTTGGACCTTTTGCATTCAACGCAGAACGAACAGTGAGAATCAGGGAGGTGGGGGAGATTTTTCTAATAATTTTTTCGATTTACAGAGAGAAAAGACAAAGTCATTCTATCTCTATCGCACACTGTAACTCTATCTCTCTTGCACACAATCAGATAAAAATTACAGAAACGAATCTTCCTTTAAAAACACATGGGATTTGTCATTATCAGAAAAACCCATTTTATTTTATTTTTTTAAATAATAAATAATTAAACTCTATTATTCAAATAACAATAATGTGCAAAAGTTCTTCAGGAGTATTATATTTTGCAACAAAATTTCCAGTAACTTAGGCTAAAAAAAAATATGTGGTCTTGACTTTTCAGGACCCCGGGAAATTGCCATGTTTTTGGACTTTTCCGAGTGGAAAAGCGGAGGAGTCGAGAAAAGTCGCAGAGGAAAAATGTGGTAGACTCGTCAAAACGAAGCTCCTCAGGAGTTATAAAGTATGTGGTAATCAACTTTCCAGAGGGGGCCTGTACTGTGGACTATGTNGAGGAATCGAGAAAAGTCGCAGAGGAAAAATGTGGTAGACTCGTCAAAACGAAGCTCCTCAGGAGTTATAAAGTATGTGGTAATCAACTTTCCAGAGGGGGCCTGTACTGTGGACTATGTGAACACTCGTTGCATAATTACTAAAAAGATTACATTTAAGAACTGTCTACGATTCGAAATAACACTCATTACAGTTGTTTCGATGCATAAAATCGAAAAAATCAGTTATGTATATTTAAATGAATTAATAATGAATTCATATTTATTACTTTCTAATCGCATAACAATAAGTCCATTGTATTGAATTGCACACGTGCAAGTAGATTATGACGACTTTGAAAACTAAAAAACTATGTCTCATTTATTATCTAAAGTCGAAATAATTTTTTTTCGAAAACTATCATTAAATATCGGCATTAAATTCTGTTTTCCATTGGCATATCTAATAAAAAATCTGCAAAGGGTCTCACCGGGTTTCCACGTGAAATCTGCGCTGGCGTGTTTTTTAACAATGGTGTGTTCAGTGTGTTGCTTGTTGATAGAAATAACTTTTGACCAATTATCAGAGTTCTATCTTTGCTCATTTTTAAAAAGATGGGGTTGCAACCCTTAACTTCAAAATCATTTTTCTATAAAACTATGATAGATATTTGAATAAATCCAATGGCATATGAAAGTTACTGATAAGAATTATATTGCATATTTTTTTCATAGTTTTTCAACTATATAAACAGTGAGAAAAAAAAATTGAAAAAATGAAGGGTGGTTTTTTGTGGCTATTTCTCGAGATACACTAACCAAAAAAATCACGTATAATCAGTGAGTCTTAAGCTACAATGCATAGCAGTTACATAGATCTGCGATAGGTGGATCATATTCAAAATAATCATTTTATGCTGCTAGGTACAGTATTGTGAACTGATACTTGACAAATGGAACAAAATCAATTGCGCGTGCGCAAGCTAATAGCTGATCCAGTCAAGCAGAGGTTAAGTTCTTTCTACATTGTTCATAGGTGAATGATTCGTTTCTATATTTTAAAAATAATTATAAATAAATATTAAATATGCGACCGAAGATTTTATTGTATGTTGAAAATTAAAAAAATCATTATTGTGAAGACTGGTTAAAATATTCGACATTACATATATGTACTTTTCACATCAATTGAAGCTATAATAAGGCTAGAGAGTATAATATTCGATTGGATATAATTTTGCATATTTTTTATTTTGTTAAAGTCTTTATATTATTGTAAAATGGAAGACAATAGTGGTATACAAAATGGAAAATCCAACAATTTATTTTTTATTTTGATTACAGTTATTTATTTTGTAGTAAGTGTCTTGCCGACAGCAATTTTATTGATATACCATATATTGGCCGAATGATTTTTTACTCTCCATTCTTGATTACAAATACGGTACATTGTAACCTTTAACAAAAAAATAACTACATTCTTTTTATCTATTCCAATGAACAGAAAATTAATTCTATTGATAGAAGTATTCAGAACAGTTTAGAATTATCGTTAATATTTTAAGTGAAAAAATTTATATAATTGTGATTTAGCTTCTGGTCATAGCATATATACAGGGCGTCCCATTTTAATTGATCACCCCGAATAACATTGCAGGTTCTCCTCCAATTGAAAAAGTTCCAGAACAAAAGTTGTAATAAAATGATTTTAATTTTATCCGAAAGGTCAAACTTAGGGGTCATCTGAAAGTTAATCTCAGAATTTTATATAGAAACCCCATTTGTTTTATCCAGAAATGGAAAGCGTAGGAAAATTTACGTTCAAAGATGTATATTTGACCTTGGGCCCAAGGGGTCCACTGAAGGTCAAATATTTGACTCCATAGGTCAAGGTCAGAATCACAATTAGACCATAAATCGTGATCACGGTAATTTGNCACATCAATTGAAGCTATAATAAGGCTAGAGAGTATAATATTCGATTGGATATAATTTTGCATATTTTTTATTTTGTTAAAGTCTTTATATTATTGTAAAATGGAAGACAATAGTGGTATACAAAATGGAAAATCCAACAATTTATTTTTTATTTTGATTACAGTTATTTATTTTGTAGTAAGTGTCTTGCCGACAGCAATTTTATTGATATACCATATATTGGCCGAACGATTTTTTACTCTCCATTCTTGATTACAAATACGGTACATTGTAACCTTTAACAAAAAAATAACTACATTCTTTTTATCTATTCCAATGAACAGAAAATTAATTCTATTGATAGAAGTATTCAGAACAGTTTAGAATTATCGTTAATATTTTAAGTGAAAAAATTTATATAATTGTGATTTAGCTTCTGGTCATAGCATATATACAGGGCGTCCCATTTTAATTGATCACCCCGAATAACATTGCAGGTTCTCCTCCAATTGAAAAAGTTCCAGAACAAAAGTTGTAATATAATGATTTTAATTTTATCCGAAAGGTCAAACTTAGGGGTCATCTGAAAGTTAATCTCAGAATTTTATATAGAAACCCCATTTGTTTTATCCAGAAATGGAAAGCGTAGGAAAATTTACGTTCAAAGATGTATATTTGACCTTGGGCCCAAGGACTGAAGGTCAAATATTTGACTCCATAGGTCAAGGTCAGAATCACAATTAGACCATAAATCGTGATCACGGTAATTTGTACGGAATTTACCACAAAAATTAATCAACCTTTGCCATGAAAAAATGTAAACGATTCAGTCGGAAACTGATTTGACCTTCAAAGGACTCCTACGGACCAATCTTACCTAAGATCAAGTACAGGGTGTCCCTGAAAAGGATGGACAACGCTTGACCACAGGTTCCTTGAATGAAAACAAGACTATTTAGCCTAACTTACCTATATACAAAAGTGCACGCCTACTGAGATATAGCCTTCTAAATATAGAACAGATAACCTAGTTTTTTTCAAATAATTTGAAAACTGTTTTTCTTAGAAACTTCAAATTTGGTACACATATTTTTTTATATAAGGGCAATGTAAATATAGAATTTGGTGAGAATACATATACAGGATGTTCTCTTTCTAGTGCCTGTGCGCCACTGGCTATCCCGTAACTTTTTTGTATGTACGCCAATGACGACAGAATTTATATTTTTAAAAATAAGCACTATTTTAGAAGATTTTTTGCCTCTTACAAAATTTTGATATCGTTTATGGATTTCGAGTAAAATTGGCATTTTTTACACATTAAATAATATAAAATCAGTTTAAGATAAATAGAACATTCTAGTACGAGGTGCCATATAACAGAGAAACAAATTCATAACAATAATTAAAAGGTTCTGTGTCAAGCTAGCTGTGATTTAATTTTAGCTTACTTTGTTTTTTATTGCAATTTATACTTTTGCTGAACAAACTGATATGTTAGTAGTTTTGGGTTATTGTGAAGGAAATTGTTGTGCTACTGTTCGAACATATGCTGAAAGATTTCCTAATCGAAGAACTCCAAATCACAAAACATTTGCTAATGCGGAGAGACGCCTTCGGGAAACAGGACGTTTTTTACCTGTAACATTAAATCGTGGATAATGTACGGCCGGAATTATTCAGCTGGAGGTACAAATTTTGGAAAGGGTCGAAGAAATTCCTCAAGTAAATAAAAGGCGTTTAGCGGCAGAGGATGGCTTTCAAAAAGTTCCTTTCATAGAGTATTAAAAGACCAGTTATTACAGGTTACAGGTATTACAGGGTACAGGTAGGTACTACAGGTTATTAAAGGTCTAACAGGTGGATAGGTAGAGGAAATAATGCCCCTTTAAAATGGCCATCTCCGGACCTAAACCCATGTAATTATTTCATTTGGGGAGCGTTGAGAACAACAGTTTAAAATAACTTTTCAGTAAATACAGAAAACGAATATGGGAAAGAACACAACATGAAATTAATGTTATGAGAGGTAATGCACAATTATTCGATAATTTCTAATTTTCGAAGAACTAATGTTTGCGTTTAAGAACAAGAAAGAACTTTGAGCATTTACAGTAATATTATTTTAACGTGATTACAAATATCAGTTTATTTAAAATGTTAATGTTGACTTTCTTACATTATTAGTTGATATTGTTTATTTAAAAGATTAATGTTGATTTTTATTTTATTGATTGATAATAGTAATACCAAAAATGTGTAGTTATTTTTTTTAATGTGACGTATTTTCATTATTATTCCTTGCTTTGAGGCTGCAGTTATAAATTATTTTTTATGAATCGGAATTTTGCCTATATTTAATGTATATAAGAAATGTGAATTTTACTCGAAATCCATAAACGATATCGAAATTCTGTCGCCATTGGCATACACACAAAATAGCTACAGGATAGCCAGTGGCGCACAGGCACTAGAAATAGAACATCCTGTATATGTATTCTCTCCAATTTCTATAGTTACCTTGCCCTTATATAAGAAAATAAATGTACCAAATTTGAAGTTTCTAAGAAAAATAGTTTTCAAATTATTTGAAAAAAAAAATAGGTTATCTGCTCTATATTTAGAAGGCTATATCTCAGTAGGCGTGCACTTTTGTATATAGGTAAATTAGGCTAAATAGTCTTGTTTTCATCCAAGGAACCTGTGGTCAAGCGTTGTCCATCCTTTTCAGGGACACCCTGTATACATAACGTAAGATTTTCTGCACTTTTCATGTCTGGATAAAACGAATGGGGCTTCTATTTACTGTCTGATGTAGACCTCCAAACGACCCCTAAGTTTGACCTCTGGGTCAGAGCCAAAGTCATTACCGTACGACCCCCTTAAAATCCTATAACTTTTGTACTGGAAGTTTTTCAATTGAAGATCGTCTTCCAAAGTTATCCGGGGTGATCGACTAAAATGGGACACCCTGTAGATATTAGAAAATGATTTAATTACAAACTATATAATGCACGTGGAGGATTAAAGATCAAATACTACGCAATTTGAGTTCAACAGTGTAGGTGCATCACAAGTAACGTTCCAAGTTTTCAAAAACTTCAACTGTTTTGGTATGTACAGATAGCTTTCTTTACTTTAAAGTCGTAAGCTTTTTGATTTTCGTTTCTATTTACTTAACGGAAAACGCAAACAGGAATTTGCAAAATCGGACAAACGTTTTTTGGCGGGCCTTCATGAAATTAAAGTACCATATTTGCAACATGGAAACTGGAATTGGTGTTATGGCCTGGCCAGTACGAGTCCAGACCTCAGTCCCATTGTACATATAATTAATTATTTATTATTTAAATTAAAAGTGAAAAATTGCATTGTGAAATTGGATTCCATTACCAGAACTAACATAAGGGTGCTCATTTTATTTGTCAGACATTTACTACTGTAACCGTATAACAAGCAGTAGAAGAGGTAGAGTCAGTAATGACCGTTAAAACAAGTGGTAGTAGAGGCAGTGTCAGCATCCTGTCATTCAAAGCTTTCTTCTCAATCGTGATTTTCTGTTGCAAAGAATCTTCGATGTATTCTTCTGCGTCACAATGCGAAATGAATGACTGGTAGGTATACACCGTGTCCACCTAGTGCACTGAAAGAAATGCGTTTTATTCTTTATTAGAATTCTATATGCCATTATAAGACCATTGTGTACTATATGTGACAGTTAAACAGGTGAATATTGGATATAAAACGCGTACTGCTAGCACAGTTGTATAGTGACTAGAAACCTTATTCTTTATTAAATTATAGTATAACTAGTATACAACGTTTTTTATACCCTTTACGAAATAATAGCAATAACTGTTATTAAAGTGTTCCATATCGTTATTAGAACATCTAGTACTGGTTATAAGTTTTATAATAATAAATGTATTAAACTGTTGTATACTCTGTATGAGTTAAACACATATGACATTAAGTTTTCAAAAATTTTATTGGATAACTGTAATTACAAGCTAAGGTTCTAATGTAAACATACATAAAACATACTTTTAAGCATTAAAAATGATGACAAATCGCTCCCAAAACTGTCCAGTTTATTTTCTTAGCAACGATGCACCCGTATTTTCTTGTATTACATGAGAATTTGCACTATAACTCTTCCACCTTAAGAATGAAGCATCCCCAGAAAGGTTGAGCTTCTTTCCATATAATTTTATTTCCTCTGGTTGATTGACTTTATACCCATGCTCTTCTTTGTCACCGTTAACCTTCTGTTCCTCCATCTTATGTAAAACTTAACATCAGCGATTTCTAATAGGACCTACAAAATAATAATTTTTAAGATTTAGACAAGATTTACATTTGAAAAAACAAAACAATTACAAGCCATAAAACAGTTAGATACTTACATAATAATTTTCCATTTCACACAACGCGATATGATCATGTATCCCACAAAACATGTGCATATACTGTCCATTTTCATCAAACTAGACGTGTGTAAGTCGATGCACAGCGGACTGTCGGAAATTTTACGATTGTTGTATTTTCTCTTCTTGAGTAAAGATAATAAAGACGTTGTGGTTTTGTGTGTTTATTTTGACAATGATTGAACATGTATGGACAATAAAAGTGGACTGTATAAGATAGTTGAGTACCGTTCTGCTTCATGCATAGCATGCTACTGAAATCATGGAAGGGATGAGCTCGTGCGGCGAACCCTAAATCAGCGGCTGGAATAGCCAGGTTTCTTATTGAGTCGGCGCACTTCGCTCTCGGGTCTGACATATGATTATTATTACAAGACTATGAATATAACTTAACAACGATCATAACCGATTATGCACCGAGAGGTGACGATCACTTAACCATTATAAGATGCGTTTATTCGTTCTTATACTGAAAATGTTTCCGTATAAGAACGAATAATTCTGTTAATACAATTGTTATATACAAATTCGGATACTGGTCTTTATACAACAAATCTTCCCTGCTATACAATTGGAACATAAAGTTTATAACACCTAATAATGTATAAGTAATTCATTATAACCTTTATTTCATAGATGCATAAGGTGTATTAAGCACCTTCCAGTTAAACTCATTGAATAATGAGTATGGAGATGATTGCTTTTTTTTTATTAAAGGTTGTATATTGGTTATAAAAGTTTTAATATGCGCTATACACATTATTCTAGATAAACAGTTCAATAAGCCCATTTCTTTCAATGTGCGCGTAAGTCCAATATTTAGGTTAATAAAAGATATAAATAATTTTTTTTTCTACATAATTGCCTACTTTCCCGAGCTGCACAAAATGAAAATATATTTGCAAATACAGAGTGTTCAGTTTATCCTGGGCAGATACCGACTTAATTTTTTTTAATGGAAACCTATATTTTTTATGGCATTATCGAATTCTACGTGAAAAATTAACGGGACTTTGTGTTATGATCCCTATTAAAATATTGATAGTTTTCGAGATAATCGGCTTTTCATTTTTTTTTCTTATGTTTCGTCACTTCTAGTAGTTGACATAGTTATGATTGTATGACACCTAGAAATTATTTTTTTTCTTTTTCAGGAACTGTAGAGTGAAGATGGCTCTTTCAAAAAACGTATCAAAAGTTGACCTGCGATATACAAGGAGCAAAAAAATCGTGCCAAACCTGAAAATTTAAAATTTGAAAAATCTCGATTTTTTCAAATAGAACACCCTGTGTTTTATGATTTCATTAAATGCCTTTCTGTAGACTCTACAATTTATAATAGCTTCCCCTATACCTAAGTTGCGTAGTTTTAAAAAAAAACCATTTTTAGGTAAAATACCGGATTTGCGCCCGTTCCTTTGTCGGCAAAAATATTGTAAGGGTATTTATTTTAAGTTAGCGTTCGACTACAAGTATTCTTTTTTCAAAATTCTATTTATTCAAATTTTTTAATCTCCAGTTTCAATAATAACTTTCCTAACTACGGTAACAGTGTTTGATTTTCAATATAATACGGATGAAACTTCGTCAATATTTTATTTGTCAAGCTTTTGAAAACTCCAAGGTTACTACTAATTTCCTGGCACTAATATTTGGATTTTCAACAATAGACGCCACAACTTTAAACTAAATATTATCGTTGTTACTTTCATGTCTCCTGGTAGATTTCTCATAATTCGTATTTGCTGTTCATTCAAACCTTCCCTTCACATTTTCAAAACAGTGGGAATCTCTGTAAATTTGGATTATTTGCTTTATAAAATACGTGCTGCTAGCAAACATTTTCCATATTTTGCTAATTCTTAATCATTTGTAGCGATTTTATGGTTTTTTTATTTTATTTACAAATAAATGGTAACTTTCCATAAAGACTTATTTATTAAACTCAAATATCTAAATTTTTCAGTTATTAATTTTTATTTTAAATAGTGTAGCTAGACAACTAATAAATTTAATAGAAATGAATACCCTTACAATATTTTTCCCGACAAAGGAACGGGCGCAAATCCGGTATTTTACATAAAAATGGGTTTTTTGTAAAGACTACGCAACTTAGGTATAGGGAAAGCTATTATAAATTGTAGAGTCTACAGAAAGGCATCTAATGAAATCATAAAACACAGGGTGTTCTATTTGAAAAAGCCGAGATTTTTCAAATTTTAAATTATCAGATTTGGCACGATTTTTTTTGCCCCCTGTATATCGCAGGTCAACTTTAGATACGTTTTTTGAAAGAGCCATCTTCACTCTACAGTTCCTGAAAAAAAAAATAATTTCTAGCTGTCATACAATCATAATTATGTCAACTACTAGAAATGACGAAACAAAAAAAAAAAAATGAAAAGTCGATTATCTCGAAAACTATCAATATTCTAATAGGGATCATAACACAAAGTCCCGTTAATTTTTCACGTAGAATTCGATAATGCCATAAAAAATATAGGTTTCCATTTAAAAAAATCAAGTTGGTACCTGCCCAGGAAAAACTGAACACCCTGTATATGCAAATATATTTTAATTTTGTGCAGCTCGGGAAAGTAGGCAACTCTGTAGAAAAAAAATTAAGTTATATATTTTATTAACCTAGATATTGGACTTACGCGCACTAGGTGGCAATATTTTTGGTAATGTCTACAGGTTGAACAGTACATTTTCCTTGTCGGTAGTCGAGAAGTAGGCCTCTCTTTATGAGTTTTTGTAAATCCCTTTCGTCGTCTATACATATAATACACAGCTTAAGCAGAGGTAAAAAATTCAGGGGCGTATTCTATGGCGAAAAATATGGATCTCTTGTTATATAAATGTGGGGTCTTAGGACAGTCTTTGTCCAGCTACAACTTGTCAAAAACAAATAAATTAAAAAAAAATTTCATTTAATTTCTAAACCGCCCGAGATAATTTAACCGAATTTAACCAAAAGAAATAAAATAGTGAAGATAATACAATGGCGCATATGATTTATTTTATTTTATTTGTAATACTGGGTGATATATTTCCTTTTTGGCAAATAATGATCGATGATACCCATACCTCCGCCACTGACACGATTCTGAAGCTGGTAATTTTTTGTTTCATACCTACTGTCATACTAAATATGCACACCTAATTTGATTCAATTATCTCAAGCGGTTTAGAAATTAAAAATTAAAAACTGATTTTTTTTTAATTTTTAACACGCTGTAGCTGGACAAGGACTAACCCCAAGACTCCATATTTATATAACAAAAAAACCCTTATATTTAGCCACATAATACGCTCCTGGACTTTTGAGCTCTATTTAAGGAACACCCTGTAGGCTCGTCCTCACCAGTTCATCACACTTGCTAACTAATCGATTCCACCCCAAACGGGACCTCCCCTCTCCTTCCTAGTCAAGATCAAGGTCAATTAGAGGTCAGATTGAGAAAAAGTATATTAAATCAAAGTATCTCGTAGTTTGGATCGATGGAATCTGAGGTTAGTTTGTCTGTATCAGGCCATTTTAAGGTCGTTTGAAGGCCATTTCAAGGATAAATTGAGAAAAAACCGAGCAATCAAGTCCGACCACATGTTATACAGAATTTTGGGGTCGCTGATTTTGAATCCGAGGTCAGTTTGCCTGTACCAGGTTATTTGTAGGTCGTCTCAAGGTCATTTCAAGGTGAAGTTGAGAGAAGCCAAGTAATTAAGTCTAACTGCCTTATAGACGTATTTGAATTCGTTGAGTTCAAATCTGAGGTCAGTTTGACCATGTCAGGTCATTTGAAGGCCATTTTAAGGTCATTTAAAAGTTAATTTATGGAATAAACCCTGAAATCAATTATCGTATAGTCGAGGTACATTTACATGTATTAATAAAGGTTCAAGGTTATTCCAAGGTTGATTTTAGAAAAAGGTCTTCTGGTAGAGTGAGTGAGAGACGATTTCAGACCCCTCTATTTCGAGCTAAAATAGGTCTTTAAAATCATTCGAGTTTAAACAGAGCAATGCAAGGTTTACGCAAGTTCTGAAGGAGCAAATGAACAGATCTTTTATCTCGAAAACTACTTATTTGACACAAAAATGACCTGTACAAACGTTGTAGGATTCCATATCAGTGAACTCTTGACGTAGAACTTGGCCAATCATCCTTACCTTCGGTTCACATTAAGCTAATCGACACAAATCAAGTAGTGGATCACTAAATCGTCATATAATTATTACCTTCGGCTTTAGCGTTATTCAATGTGCACCACGAGGAGGTTTTTCTTTGGTTTGACCTTTAAATGACCTTGAAATAATCCTCAAATGAGCTGATGCAGACAAACTTACCTCGGATTCGAACTCAGCTGTCCCAAAAACTTATATAACAGGAGGTTAGACTTATTTGCTCGTTTTTTTTTCAACTGACCTTGAGATGACTTTTAAATGACCTGATACAGACAAACTAACCTCGGGTTCTAACCCAACGACAGCTGTCGTTTGTTTTGCGTTAGAAAAACTGCAATTGTTGGACAAAACGTTGTATATCACAAGCACTTGAGAACTTGCCAAACATCTCACTTGCCCCTAATGTCTTATTTCAGTCGTTAAATTTCTAGATTTTCTTCTTTAAACTTGAACATTTTGCTTTAGGTTCAAAATGATCGAAACAAATACAACCATTCCCGAAGATGCCGTCGGCCGGAAACCTTTAAACTACAGTTCTAGAGGTGGACACTTAATTTCTCATCCCGCAGCAGGCGAGGAAGTCGTAATAACAGGTATACAGGGTTGATACAATGACCAACTCCGTTATTAATGAAGATACAAAACACAATCGTAACCTAACTTTTTTCGTAGGCGTATCTGGTTCGTTCGCAAATTCACGTAATATAAACGAGTTTAAGGACAACTTATTCAACAAAGTTAACATGCTGTCTCCGAACCAAAGGTGGCGCTTCGAACATCCCGAAATACCCCCTATTTCTGGAACTGTACCTGACATCGATAAGTGCGACACTGGATTTTTTGGTAACTATTGTATTCGTTATTTTTCTAGTATGACAGAAGTTCTGCTAGAATTCTTACTAAATCTGTACGACTGTAGTTCTGTGCTACGCTGTTTATTTGGGCGAGCATGCATAATACAGTACGCGCCTAAAGTATGGAATAAATTCAGTATAAACCAAACAAATTTTTTTTCGGAAAAATCCTCGAACAGGTCGATTTTTAATTTAAAAAATATATACAGAGAGATCGAGAATGATTGACCGGATTCTGAACGTATCCTGTCTCAATTGCTATCAAAACTGATTTCCGTTTGCTAAAATTACTTTCTCTTCCAATGTCAATTGTTCGATTTCAGGGTGTTCTGTGGCGATTTCACAATTTGACGTTCTATTCATTGGCGCACGGATTTTTTGGCTTGGATATTATTTTGTAGATTTTGTTATTACCTGATATATTTTGCGACATTATAAAACAGTATTTTTCAATACTACAGTTAGAGTAGGTGGATATTATACGTGAGTAATTAATTTATTGCGTATGTTGTTCTCTAACCTAATCGGTTTTTTAATTTAGGTTAACATGGCATTTTCATTAGAACATGATAAATTTCTTCTGGAGGCCTATTTTCGTAGTGGACAAAACAATGGTAATGGTTGGAAATATTCGATGAATTCGTGTCATTTACAATTTCAAGAACAATTTCCAAATGATGAAATTGATTATGAAATTTTTTCGAGACACGTGAAGAGATTAGTGGAACGCTTCCATAACACTGGAAGTGTTTGTAGAGGAAAATCTCCAGGCAGAAAGTCTATTCTTACAGAGGAAGTCTTGGAAGATGTTGAAAACCGCTTACGAGCTAGTCCAACCAAATCACTACGTCGGTTATCTGCTCAAACAGGTACTTAATAACAAATATTTATTCTAAAATTTGTATCATTATTCCTAAATTGTTTATAGGAATATCATATGGATCATGCCATAAAGCAGTAAAGAAGTTGCATTTTCATCCTTATAAAGTTAGTGTTGTGCAGGAACTACTTCCGTTAGATTTTGGAAAACGTGTGCAATACTGTAATTGGTTTAACGAAAATCTGAATGACGACGATATTCTAGATCTAACATTTTTTTCTGATGAAGCGTGGTTTCATTTAAGTGGGTACGTAAACTCCCAAAATTATCGCTCTTGGAACACAGAAAACCCTAATATTTTGCGTGAAACAACTCTGCACCCTATTAAACTTGGTGTTTGGGTAGCTATGTCACGTAGAAGAATAATCGGACCATATTTTTTCCGTGAAAATGTAACTGGGCAGGTATATCGGCAGCAAATATTGTTACCATTTTTTGAGGAACTTCACGACGATGAAATCCATCATGGATACTTTCAGCAAGATGGCGCAACAGCTCACACCTCTAACGAAACTTTAGAGTTGATTAGAGAGTATTATGATGATCGAATAATTAGTCGAGATAGATGGCCACCACGTTCTCCTGACCTTACACCCCTAGACTATTATTTATTTGGTTTTTTAAAAAATTCAGTATTTGCTCAACGGTTACACACGATTGAAGAACTTCAAGAGGCAATTACAAACGAAATTAGGAGTATTACACAAAATGTTTTACAGAATGTATTTAATAATATGAAAAGAAGAATTAATACCTGCTTGAACAACAATGGACATCATATTGAACATTTATTGTAAAAATATAGATATTTTTATGGATTTTATGTAATTTTAAGGTAAAATATTCAATAAAATGTGAAAAAATTCCAATTACTCTGTTATTATATATTGCATGTAACTGTTGTTTATTGCTCTCGGTCATACAGACAATCCTACCATCTAACATAATCAAGCACTTCCAACTGCTTGCATTTGCTTGAAGCAAATTTTTTTAAGACACTTTTCCTGAATTTCGACAGCTAACTAAAATGTTCAGCATAAATTTTTGGGCTGGATCGCTTGCGCTGGATATTCAGAAGTGTGAAAGCAGTAGCTGCAAAATAGTCGTCTTATAAGCATACAGCAGTTTGCTTTGATGAAAAACAGCAGCTTGCAGCGTATCGCTGTATAGCTGAATCGTCTTAGATGCCAAGAATGTAGCCACAATAGTGCTTCTGTTTTAAAATTAACTCATAACGTTTTAAAAATAAAATCGCTGAAGCACTTACAGTCGTTATTCAAAATTAGCTACATCAAACTTTGATTTAAAAGTTTTTCTAATTGTAAATGAAATAAGAATTTTGGAAAAGTTAGGCTAAACCTACATTTGATTCTGTCATCCTCTTTAATAATAATAACAATAATAACATTTATTGGTCCATCAGTATTGCTTAATTTGTGAAATAACTTTGATTTTTGTTAAATAATTGATATTTTTATTATGAATTTCCATTTTGACAGTAACCTAATTTATTTGACGTTTGAACGTAATTATTTGTTTACCATTAAAATCCCTCAACCTGCGCTCATGATTCTAGTATTGGTATCAAAAACTGGTATGCCGCACATCAAATATCAGTATGAGGCGGCACGGTCAATCATTCTCGATCACCCTGTATATTAGCATAAAAGGCGATTTTCAACCGTCATTTGTTTTCGAGTAATGACGTCATCGACATTTTTTTTAAATAGCGACCCCCTATTTTTTTTTTGATTCTGAAAGATCGTTTCATTGTCGATCCGACAGTATTAAAATATTGTCATCTTACACAGGAAAGTTTTCGAGTAAATGACGATTGAATGTTAGAAACCGTAAATTTTATTCATTAAAAAAATAACTAATTCCTACGTCAAGCAAATACAGTTCATTAAGTTTTCTACCTAAATTAAGTGTTCGAATTGCCACCCACCGATTTCTTAACAACACGCAAGTCTGTGTAGAAATTCTTCTTGCACATTATGAATTATTTCTGGACTAACTGTGTATTTCATCTATAATACAATTTTGGAGTTCTTCTAAATTATGTGGTCTATTAACGTACACTTTGGACTTTAAGTAGCCCCATAAGAAATAGTCCAGGGGTGTAAGCTCTGGGGATCTCGCGGGCCATTCCATCGGTCCTCGTCTGCCGATCCACGTTCTAGGAAAACAATTGTCCAGAAAAACTCGAACAGGGCCCGCATAGTGCGGAGGTGCACCGTCTTGCTGAAACCATATGGTGTTATCAGGAATATCAGGGTCATTATCGTTAAGAAAAATTATTGCAAGCGCTGGAACAAGGCCATTTTGTAAAAACTCTAAATATCTTTCTCCTGTAAGGGTTCCTTCAAAGAAGAAAGGCCCTACTATTCTGTTGTCAACTATTCCAGCTCACACACTTAATTTCTGTGGGTGTTGGGTATGTGTCTCTGCCATCCAATGAGGATTTTCCCGACTCCAATACCTGCAAGTTTGACGGTTCACTGTACCATTGAGACAAAACGTGGCCTCGTCTGAAAAAAGTATTTGCCGGTGTAAATCTCTATTTACTTGACATAAATCCATCATAATTTCACAAAAGTGTAAGCGGCGGTCGGGATCGTCTTCATTGAGTTCCTGCACAAGTTGAATTTTGTAGGGATGATATTTTTCCTGCCTCAGGATACGTAGCACTGTGGTCTGACTAATTTCATTGTTTAATGCAACCAATCGTGAAGTATTATGAGGATTATCTACCATACTTATCAAAATGTTCTGTTTGTGATCTTCACTAACGCTTGGACGTCCAGGTTTTGGAATATCTACAACATTGCCAGTTTCTCTAAATTTAGATTCTATCTTACTGACTGTTGATTGGCTGATACGGCGATCTGGATGTTTTTCATTAAATAAATCGCAAACTTCCTGCTGCGTTCTAGTCTTATCCCCGCATCCGATAAGAATTAAAATTTCAATTCTTTGTGTGACAGTTAAATGTGCCATAATACTTTAAATTCAACAATAATTTTTATATCGCTTACAATACTTAGAAAGTCGGTATGACAGTGACACTTTGTAAAGATTTACACCTACGTGATCCATAAAAAACTTCAGGCATTTCGAAAAACTAAATTTGATAGCGTTTTTGCTTTATTTTAATTGATATGGGTTTTGTAACATTCAGTCGTCATTTACTCTAAAACTTTCCTATGTAAAATGGCAACATTTTATTACTGTCGGATCGACAATGAAACGATCTTTCAGGACCAAAAAAAAAAATTAAGGGGCTGCTATTTAAAAAAAATATCGATGACTTCACTACTCGAAAACAAATGACTGTTGAAAATCGCCTTTTATGCTAAAATATGTATTTTTTAAATTAAAAATCGACCTGTTCGAGGATTTTCCCCCATAAAAATTTTTACTGACCTTATTCCGTACTTTAGTCGAGTACTGTATTCAGGGTGTTCCAAAAAAAAAATCAATGATGATTGCATATGTTCTTCTTGAGACCTATATACAATTTCCTTATGTCAAAAAATAATTACCTGAATTTTAAACGAATTTGTTGCTTTCATCAAGAACGCACTGTATATGTATATCCATTATTGTTATAATTTCGTACTGTTCGGGTTATAGGTTTGCACGAACGTCAGTCCCATTCCCTGAATCCCCTGGCGCGACTGCTTCTCGAAAAAACGGTAGAGGCCATTTTGGACGCAGGTCTGAATCCAACAGACCTGGAGAACACCAAAACTGGCGTGTTCGTCGCCGTCAGTGCTAGCGAGAACAGCACGCCATGGTTCTTCGGGAACTTAAGAAGTAACTCTTATGCTATCACAGGGTAAGCTTCGATTATGCAACTGACTTTTATTATTCTGCTGGTTCCTCACAGGAGGAGGTACCAATTGACAGTGACATTTACTGCCCCAAATTTCAAAACAATTCGTTAAGCCTTTCTAGAAATAACAATACGGAGTGATTAAATTTTAATATTTTATTTATTTTTATTAATTATTCCAAAGGGTTTTAAAGATATTGACTCAAAATTTGATGGTTGTATTTTATTTAAAAATATTGACAGTAACCTACTAGATAATGTGTCAATAGAAATTAAAAATAAACAACTTGCAATAAAAGATGTTTTATCGACTTCATTCAGAATTGATGGTGGATTTCTAAAAATATATCAAAAAAAGAAAAAGTCAGTAACGTGACATTTTTTTAATGAAAAATGGTTGTGGCATTCTCGCACGAACGCCACTGGTGCAAGTAGAAATATTCGGATCACCCCAACAAATGCACATTTGTCCTTTCAAAGCGTTCTTCAATTTTCGAGTATAAATACAACCTGAAAACGAAAAACAAACAAACAACCGGTTACCAGGGGTCTTTCCTTTTGACAAAATTGTAGTACCTATTAACAACTAATATCAAACAAGAATTTTGAGATAATGAGAAAAATCTTAAATCCACCAGACTTCATCGCCCACAAAATAGAACAATATTCTGAAGTTATGACGTGGACTTAAAGAACACGCTGTATATGGAACGTAACTTTCTAGGTCTGAGAGGTCCATGATAGCCCATAGACTCAGCTACTTTTTTAAACTGAAGGGACCTTCATACACAATAGATTCCGCTTGCAGTAGCTCGTTGTATGTGTTGGAGCACGCCTACAGAGCTATTAGATTGGGTGAAATAGACAATGCGATTGTGTGTGGCACCCACCTGTGTCTGCATCCTGTGATGACCATGCAAACTGCAAGGTAAGGCAGTTATTTGGGTAGGTACTTAGAAATACGCTACCAACTACTACTGAAAATCGTTGATTTGAAAGGTTCACTTATTTTTTAAAATATCTGTCTACTTTAAGTAGGATAGTTCAAAATTGTGGCGTCTTTTTATTTTCAAAATGTGATTATTCTTCTATTTTGACTAAACCCCGTATTTAAGCATTTCTCGAGTTCTCGAACAACTTTGTTAAAAACAGTTTTTAACGAAAACTAAAATTAAAGGCGCTTTGCTTAGGAAAAATGTCACATTTCGAAATTTTTTGGACGCCCTGTATGTTTCATTACACATTTGATTACTGCCCATGGCTTCCCAAGATAAGCAAAACTTTTTATCAAGGATAACTCTTTCTCGAAAACTGAACAATAAGCAAGCTTACCAGAGTGCACTGTATACAGGGTGAGTCAGAAAGAATGGGTCAACACTAAACTGAAGATACTAGACACCAAAATATTATGTTTGAGCTCATCATGCCTTATACGAATGTCGCTGGTTTAAGAAATACAGGGTGTTCAAGGTTTCAATTTTAATCTGAAATTTCCCAATAATAGACCAGGGTCGATAATTTTTGAAACCAAAAAAAATTATAGTAGGATGAAACCCATTGGAAAAGAAAGAGAATATAACAGAAATGAAAGGAAAAATAATTTACGGGCGATCTGAGGTCGGGAAGGGGTAGGGGGTGAGTTTTTAAG